TCTCTCTCTCTCTCTCTCTCTCTCTCTCTCTCTCTCTCTCTCTCTCTCTCTCTCTCTCTCTCTCTCTCTCTCTCTCTCTCTTGGGGCCTATATCTATATATTTATTTTTGCGCACAGGGCGCAACTCCCTCAGCGCGCGCACTGCGCACAGTGCCCGCCGCTGTCGTTCCAGCGCACAGTGCGCGTGCACAGTCCCGCACCGCACTGCGCACTGGTGCGCCGCAACTATGATTTTGACTGTCCTTTGGGACATCCGTTAAAATTGGAACGATACAGAGAAGATTGATTAGCATGGCCCCTGCGCAAGGATGACACACATATATCGTGTCGAAATGGTCCCAAAAAGAAAAGAAAAAGAAAAAAAAAGAAAGAGATTTTGACTGGGATTTAACCGTTGATGTGTATCTAGTCATAGTTGTCAATGTCAGAGCTCTCCCAGACCTCAAGTGCCTGCCTCTGCTTCCACAATTGCTGCAATTTATCGTTTTGTTGTGAGGTGTTGGGATTCAGAATGGTGATAAGGGATTGCAGCATGATTTGGACATGGGCAATGAGACTGACAAGGAACGGCGATGTGTCCCGGGGGTGGAGGCGGCACTATCTTCTTCTTCTTCTTCTTCTTCTTCTTCTTCTCCTCCTCCTCCTCCTCTTCCTCTTCTTCTTCTTCTGCTGCTGCTCCTCCTCCATTCTTCTTTTTTCTTTCTTATTCTTCCTCTTCTTCTTCCTCCTCCTCTTCCTCTTCCTCTCCTTCTTCTCCTCCTCTTCCTTTTCCTCTCCTTCTTCTCCTCCTCCTCCATTCTTCATTTTTTATTCCTCTTCTTCTTCTTCTTCTGCCTCCCTCCTCCTCTCTCTCTCTCTCTCTCTCTCTCTCTCTCTCTCTCTCTCTCTCTCTCTCTCTCTCTCTCTCTCTCGTTCTTGTCAACTGCTTCTTGCACCTGTGTATGTGAGTTTTGCTATGCTCATTGGGACTCACTTTGCAACTTCTGGCTCCTTCTGTTGGCTTCTGTTGCACAGACCATTGCCTATGATGATGAGCAGGTTGGAAGGGAACAGATGATGGAGAGAGCACGCCGTCTCACTCGGAACTCTGTTATAGAGCAAGCCATGGGCGCCGGTCCTGGACGAGGGAACGGAGGAAATTTGCCAAAGCGAGCTGCATCCCTCCGCGACTTTGGAAGACTTTTCAGAGCTGCCGAGGCAAACAAGTAGAATGTGCACACAGAGAGAGAGAGAGAGAGAGAGAGAGAGAGAGAGAGAGAGAGAGAGAGAGAGAGAGAGAGAGAGAGAGAGAGAGAGTCTCCTGCTCGTGCCGAGGCAAACAAGTAGGATGTGGAAGGAGAGAGAGAGAGAGAGAGAGAGAGAGAGAGAGAGAGAGAGAGAGAGAGAGAGAGAGAGAGAGAGAGAGAGTCTCCTGTGCGTTTCTCTTTCATCCCTGAGACATGGTAGTCAAGTTATTTTGTCAATGGGTGTGTGTGCTCACATGGGCAGAGAATTTCTCAAGTGCTGTACCTGTCAGATATGCCGCTATGTAAAGGAGCCAACAGAGGGTGCTACCGTGATTCAGCATTCTGTTGTGGATTCTGGAGAGAGACAGGCAGATGAGATATTCGTGTCGGTTTACATCTTTTCCGATTTGATAAGTGGGAATTATATCCGAAGTCCCCTGTTTACGTTAGAAGCCGCAACTAATTCTTTATTTGTTTCTTGCTGCGCGTCTGTTATATGGTGTTTATTGCAGCTTGCACTAGAAAGCGTTGTTGGTGGAGTCTTTTACTCTGTGATTGTTTCTCTCGACTTTTCTTCATTGGCTTATGCTATACTTGTCGTAGGCAGGCGATGGAGATTTGAGGAAACAGGAGATGAAGGGAACCAGGTGATGGTCTGCTTGTTCTTCCACACATGCATGAGTTTAAAATCCAAATGAGTCTGTCTGTCTGTCTTTCGGTCTGTCTGTCTGTATGCATGGATGCATGGATGCGTGCATGTGTGTATGGATGTCTGTCTGTATGTATGTATGTATGTATGTATGTATGTATGTATGTATGTATATATGCATGTATGTATGCATGTATGTATGCATGTATGCGTGTATGTATGTACTATGTATGTTCGGTATAAATCTTTTCGATTTAGTTTTTTTTTAACTTTTTGACTGAGTGAGGAAGGTGCCCAGCCGGGCTGGGCCCGAGGGGGGCGCCGGGGTAAACCGGGTGGGCCAAAAAACCGCCCAGAATTTTTATTTATTTATTTATTTGAAACCGGGGTCGTTCTGCGCTTGGCGAGAGGACCCCGGAAAAGAATTTTGGTTTTGGAGGGGAGTTGGGGGGGTTAGTCTGGGTGGGGGGTGCTGGGGTTGGGGGGGTGTCTTGGGGTTGGGGGCTCTGCATGTATGTTGCCTGCTGAATGCCGAATGTATGTCATCTGATATGTACTGGGTTGGGGGCTCTGCATGTTTGTTGCCTGCTGCTCTGATGTCTGCTGCATGCATGTTATCGACCCTTTCATTCTGAAGAAGAACAAGACTGACAAAAAATGAAGAAGACCGACGAGAAGAAAGAAGAGGAAGAAGACTGACGAGAAGAAGAAGAAGAAGAAGACTGGTAAGATGGAGAAGAAGAAGAAGAAGACTTACAGACTGACAACGTGCAGGAAATCTTTGAGTTGGCTGGGAGGGCCCGGCCAGGCAAAAGGGGGTCCAAACCCCCCCGACAGGTGAGTGTGCTGGGGGGGCCGGGCCCCCAACCGGGTGCCCTGCCCGGCCAGGCCGCCCGGGACTTCCCCCGGGCCCCTGCCGGTCACCAGGGCGGGCCGGATCCCCACTCAGCTTTTTAATGAATATTTAGGCCGGCATTTTTAATCCATATTCCACCATTTTCAAAATTATATGCATCCTTAGCGTTCAAGAAAAGCAATCATAAAATTCATGACATTCTTTTTTTTTTCCCTTTTTTTTTTTTTTCCTCCCTCCCCCCCCCTCCCCAAGGGGACGATGCTCCAATCTATTCGTGGGGAGCAACACGGCTGGGAACCGGGCCCAGTGCCCCTTGTCAGAATACAGAAAACATGAACTACCGGGGCCATTACCCGGCTTCGGCCAAAGTCAATTGAAGAAATGAAAGACTGAGGAACAGTCGTAATCCACTACTCAAGAAAAAAAGCTCTACCGAGTCACTAGAACAGGTCTATAAGAAAACCTCCCAATCCACAAATTAGATATTAAGTGAAAACCCGTTCAATCCTACCTAAGACTACCACCATTCTCACCAATATATTCCAGAATGAGCACACACACACACACACACACACACACACCCCTATGAATCAAATAAATATACGTATATATCGTCAGACAAAGCTGCCTGGTAAACCGTAGGCAGAGAGGGAGGGAGAAGAGGACAACAGACGAGGGGCTGTGACAAACAGTTTCGTCGGAGTTTCACCGACTCGTCAGGAGGCTGAACCCTCAACAGTCTGAAGAATCCCCTAACTGATTACACTGTAAGTGATCATCCACCTTAACCCCGGTTGTGGTTAATAAGCATCATCGACTGCCCGACAACTGATACTCTGAGGTGGGCACCAACCACTGCCCTCAAGGTACATGTGTCACCCACACCAGATGCACCAGATGGAAAATTCTACAGACTTTCGGTTCACACCCGATCACAAGCCAGCAAAACACCCACGAAACAAAGAAAGGTTTGTCACAGCCACAAAATACACTCGAGACGCGCCGCTGGCACCAGAGGCACAGCATGGCCGCGGCGCGTTGTGACGACCCCGACCACTGGCGCTTGACCTGACCGAAGAAAACCATAGCAGGGTGCTAGCGAAGTCGTGTTATATATCGTCAGACAGAGCTGCGCGGTAAACCATAGGCAGAGAGGGAGAAGAGGACAACAAATGAGGGGCTCTATTTATGTGTACAAGTGCAAGTGTGCCGCTTCAGCATCAGACGGGTGTGTGGGCACTTCCCGCCCAACCACACAAACGTGGGGAACCTTGCATTTGCTATTATGTTGCCCGCTTAGACTTCTTTTGGTTTATGGATGGTTTGTGACGGCTTGCAGATGAAATGAGAGGTAGAAATTGGGGTTTCTTTGACAACACACACACATCTATGGGTGATGTCATATTCGCTGTATGCAATTCCACAAGAAAAAGTATGACTGTGCCAGCCTGTTTCGCCGGACTTGTGTGTGTGTGTGTGTGTTGTCGTGCTCACTATACACAAACTCCACAAAAAAAAGAATGACTGTGTATGTGTGTGTGTGTGTGTGTATGTGTGTGTGTGTGTGTGTGTGTGTGTGTGTGTGTGTGTGTGTGTGTGTG